TCTCTCTCTCTCTCTGTGCGTGTCTGTGTCTCTCTCTCTCTGTCTCTCTTTCTCTGTGCGCATCTGTGTCTCTGCCTCACTGTGCACATCTGTCTCTCTCTCTCTGTGCATGTCTGTGTCTCTCTCTCTTTCTCTGAGCGAGTCTGTGTCTGTCTCTCTCTCTCTTTCTGCATGTCTGTGTCTCTCTCTCTCTTTCTCTGTGCACGTGCATGTCTGTGTCTCTCTCTCTGCGCGTCTGTGTCTGTGTGTATGTCTGTCTGTCTCTCTCTTTCTGTGTCTCCTCCCACTCTTCCACCCCACATCTCTCTGTGCCTGTCTGTCTCTCACTACCACCCCCCCCCCCTTTTCCCCAGGACGATAGTCTCCCTGATCTACAATGTGCTGAAGACCTTCATGGAGATGAACAGTACACTGTTTGATGAACTGACTGCCTCCTACAAAGTGGACCGACAGCGGTACGTACTGATACTGATACTCCCCTCACCACGGGCTGTTCAGGGAAGGGGTGGGGAGAGGAGGGGTGGAGAAGGGTTGTGCTTTCTGTCTACGTCATGGGGAGGTGTAACATTTCCTTCTCTCTCTCTCTCTCTCTCTCTCTTCCCCTGCCCCCTCCCACAGGGAGATCAAGAAGGAGCGGGAACGTGAGGAGTTGTGGCGGAAGCTGGACGACCTGCAGCTGAGGAAGATGAAGAGTATTGAAGACCTCGACAACGTGCCCAACAAACCCAGCCTCAGCTGCCCCGACTAACACACCCCCCAACTTCCCTAATCCCCACCCCCCTCACCCCAAAAGTGCCAACTAGGAATCGTAGGCATTGCCCCATTCCCCCTCTCCCCCACCCGCCCACCACCTCGATGGTATCGGTGAACACGGAGCCAAGTCTGTGTCAGTGGGGCCTTCCGAGCCCCCGTGTCAGTACAAACTCCTGTAGGTTTCTAGACTTACTCCCTCTCTCCCGGGCTGTCAGGGAGACGAAACAAAAGTGTATTTTACAGCCTCCTTTAAGCAGAGCAGAGTCAGTAACGTGAAGCAGTTATTCTAGTTCGGTGTTCCCCACCCCCAGAGAATCTTACCCTGTGTTTGGGTCTTCGCGTCTCTATCTCCCCATCTTCCACTCCCCACCCCCACCCCCACCCCCACTCGGATGGAGCAGAGAATAAACCCCTTTCTTGTTTTTTAATCTATTAAATATGGTGCTTTGTGGGTCGATTGGAGTTCCGGGGATGTTTCTTGCAGCCTCCCTCTTCAGTGTAGACAAACTCTTCCAGCAGCCCTGTCTCTCAGACTCGTTCTCTCCCACACACACTCTCTCTCTCTCTCTCTCTCTCTCTCTCTCTCTCTCTCTCTCGCTCGCCCTGGAGCCCGTGCTATTAGGGCTGCCTTGTACGTAGTGTAGGGAAGGGAGGGGGAGGGGAGGTCTGACCATCCCTTCCCTCTGCCCCTCACCAATACCCCCACTGAGACTGGGGATTGGCACCTTCCTAGCCTAACTGGGGCAGTTAGGGGAAGGGGTTTGCACAGAGGGTTAACAGTGGGAGGGGGGAGGATCGTTCAGCATGGGGAGAGGTCCGGAGACTGTGTGTGCGCGTGTCTGTCCGTCTGTGTGGGGTGGGGGTGCAGTATCAAACTTCTGGGAATCCTGCTTAAACTCCCCACCCCCCCCCCCCCCCCAACCGAGGGTTTTGGGTTGGGAGTGGGGGTGGGGTGATATTCCTGATGCTGTGTAAGCATTATCCTACATCCTCCACCCACCCCCAGGCCGGCTGTCTCCCTGACACCTTCCCCCCCCCACCCCCCCCCCTTCTGTTGTAGGACAGATGGTGATTATCAGCGATCTGTCACTGTTCAAGCAAAGGGGCTGTGTCACCTCTTCCGCCCCCCCACTCCAGCCCCCTAACCTCCTTACAGCTACGCACTGTCCCAGGGCAGAATGTGCCTGATGTGGGCGGCTTGGGGGCAGGAGGGGTGCACCCAAGAGCATGAAGGGGGAGGGGGGGAAATAGGATGTGCCACCCCCTCCCCCAAACACATGCCCAGCTGTCTGGGTGAACTCCTGGTCTTGCCCAGCACAAGGTGTCAGTGGAGAGGGGTCAACAGAATACCTTCCCAAACCCAGTGTCAGAGTGGGAGGAGTGTCTGAGATTATGACCTACAGAGTCTGGGAGAATGGGGTTAATGTAGGAGAGAGGTCTGGGGGCAGCTAGGAGGGTGGGGAAGGGGAAGGAGGTGTTAGTGTTCAAACATGAAATGGTGGGCAGGAACCACCCCCGCCCCACAAACTTGACCCTTCCAACACCGCCCCCCCCCCCCCCCCCACCCCCAACCCCAGGATGTGGTCCCCTCCAGAGGGGACTCTGTTTGTGAGTGGGTGGGTGTGGGGCTTGTTGGTGAGGGAGGGAGAGACGGAGTGTGTGTGTGGATTCCAATTGGAAAGGAAAACCCCACAGATATCGACGCTGGTTCTCCCCTTGCCCAGTTTCTCCCCCTCCCCACCACCACTGAGGGTCAGCAGTGGGAGGAAGGAGGAAGGGGCTTGTAGATAAATGAGATGACCTCAGACCTCGCTCCCTCTCTCTCCGAGCCTTCCTGATCCCAGCAGATCCCCCAGGGACTCAAAGATCGTGTGCAGCCCACCCCCCCCCAACCTCTGTCAGGACACTAATGACTGTTATTTTATTCCAGATATATTGGGGGAGACGAACAGGTGAATTAGAGACCGAGCCCCCCCCCCCCCCCACCTCCCCCCCCCCATGCTGCTGCATTTCCCCCTCCCTGATCCCGGTGCGTTGTGTAGATATGAGTAGATTCACTTACAAGTTACTGTACACTACTGATGAGCTACTGTGCCCTCTCCCTCTCCCCAACCCCAACCCCAACCCCACCCCGAGTCTGATGTGGCCTGGGGTCTGCCCACTTGTAGAGAGGAGCTCAGGGTGGGAGCTGTACTGAACTCGCTCTGTTCTGTGTGTCTCCCCCCTCCTCAAAGTGCAATAAAAACCACGAAATGGCGAACCTCCTCCACTGCCCTCTGAGGCCTGTCTCTCTCTTTTTGCAATGTTGTACACCGACATACACGCTGACAGAAAAGGTTTACCAGGATGTTGCCAGGGTTGGAGGGTTTGAGCTATAGGGAATAGGCTGGGGCTACTTTCCCTGGAATGTCAGAGGCTGAGGGGTGACCTTACAGGGGTTTATAAAATCATGAGGGGCATGGATCGGGTGAATAGCCAAGGTCTTTTCCCTGGGGTGGGGGAGTCCAAGACCAGAGGGCATAGGTTTATGGTGAGAGGGGAAAGATTTAAAAGGGACCTGAGGGGCAACTTTTTCACACAGAGGGTGGTGCGTGTATGGAATGAGCTGCCAGAGGAAGTGGTGGAGGCTGGTACAATTACAACATTTAAAAGGCACCCGAATGGGTACGTGAATAGGAAGGGTTTAGAGGCACATGGGCCAAATGCTGGCAAATGGGACTTGATTAATTTAGGAAATCTGGTCGGTGTAGACAAGTTGAACTGAAGGGTCTGTTTTATGTGCTGCATAGCTCTGTGACTTGAGGACACGCTGTTGGTGCACACTTGCACTGACTGACATGAGCACACACAGATGCACATCCTAACATACAAAGGGTATGAGATCTACATACATCAATGGTCAGCCACTGCACACCAGGGTCCGCTCACTGTAATGACTTACTGAGCAAGTTTGTTCCACAGGTACTGGTTAACAGCTCAGTGTCAGTCTGGACACTGCGGGGTGGGTGGCAGAGTCTTCCTGTTTTTCCAGCTGGGATGCTGAGATCTTTATATCCACCCAACAGGGCAGATGGGTGTCTGACAAAGTCCTCATCTGGAAAGTCTCTGTGCACTCAGCGCTGACTCTCTGGCAGGGCACTCCATCAGCACAGTGCTGTGTATGGGAGTGATCTCTACACCATGAGAGTGACACCAATTGAATCTTGGATGATACCCTGATTTTTGGAGTTGTCAAGGCACCAAGTTAATTATTGCTGAATGTATCTCTTGGTTTTACACTGTGTTGTGACTGCACCCTCAAAAAAAAACTCAGTAGAGAGGCATTTGAAGTTTTGATCTTCCTATACCCCCTGTTCTGCTCTAGTTTCGAAGTCTAATGTGGGTCTAGTCACTCTGAACCCCTGTGTTACTAGCCTGGAGTGTGGCTTGATGTAGGATCAGTGCTATCTCGTGCTGAGCTTATTGTGATCGATTTGTAAAGTGTGGGAGCTTCAGTTTTCAACAGTGCCCCCTTGTTCATGTTGCTCTACAACCTCTCAGCACCTCATCTTATTTAAGGAAAGGTATTATTTCATTGGAGGCAGGTCAGAAAAGGTTCACGAGGATGATCCCCAATGCGGAGGGATTACCTTATGAGCAAAAATTAAACAGATTGGATTCTTAAGGGGATTGACAGGGAAATGCTGAGAGCATATTTCCCCTCATGGGAAAGTCTAGGACCAGAGGGCACAGTCTCAGAATAAAGGAGCACCAATTTAAGACAGAGATGAGGAGGAATTTCTTCTCTGAGGGTTAAGTGTCTTTGGACCTCCTTGCCACAGAGAGCTGTGGAGGTAAGAGTCCTTGTGTATGTTTAAGGCTGAGATAGAGAGATTCTTGATCAGCTAGGGAATCAAGGGTTACGGCGACAAGGTGTCAGATCAGCTGCGATCCTAATGAATGGCGGAGCAGGCCTGAGGGGCCGAACGACTTACTCCTGTCCTATTTCTTACAAAATCTGCCCTGTCCAGTCATCTCAAGATCTGGTGTGATTAATCATGGATGTGGGGCTCTCTTTGGGCAATTCTTTGTGTGGAACGGAGCTGCTTGACCCAGGAATCTGTTGAATGAACCTTGCTCACAGCACTTCAGATGTGGTCTCACCAAGGCTCTCTCTTTTCCTATCCCACGCTGTTGGATTTCCGAACCAGTTGCTGTACCTATGTGCTGAGTGTTTTTGATTTGTGTACCAGGTGCCTTCCTTGTTCGTTCAGTAAGTGATATTGACCGTGGTCATTGGGATAGTGTCCCCCCCCCCCCCCACCCACCACTGATTCACAAAGAAATTTTGTTCGAGCCCTTCCAACAACAACTAGACTTGGCATAGCATCTGGCCACGTCCCCATAGCCTGCTTTAAGGGGACACCATTTCCAAAGACCCCGTGGTACACCCACAGCAATGTGGTTGACCCTTAACTGCCCTCTGGGCAATTAGGAATGGGCAATAAATGCTGTCTAGCCAGCGACGCCCTCATCCCGTAAAGGAATAAAGGGAGAAAGAAATCACTAAAAGCAGATGATCGGACTTGTTTTTGCTTGCTGTGTGTGGGATCTTGCTGTGCACCAACTCCAGCTGACCAATTTCCTACACGGTAACAGTAATGATACTTGATCATTTTATTGGTTGTAATAACAGGTGCCCAGAGGCCATGAACGATGTTCCATCGAGGGTCCTGAGCTCAGGGCTGGGGGAGCCGTGCTCACAATGGGGTTTCAGTATCGGGACAGGCGGCACATGTCACAGCGACAGGACCCAGCTGTAAAGATCTCGATCTCCTCCCTGCGAGGGCCACAGAACAGACTGACCCTGACCTGCAACAGCAAAGCAGACAGCTCCATCACAGCCTTGTCAACCAGAGAGAGGGAGAGATACAGGGGACAGAGGGGAGGGGGTTATAGAGATACAGGGGACAGAGAGGTGGGGCTACAAGGAGAGATACAGGGGAGAGAGTGAGAGGAAGAGATACAGGGGACAGGGGCGGGGTTAGAGAGATACAGGGGAGAGGGATAGAGAGATACAGGGGACAGAAAGCTGGGGTTACAGGGAGAGATACAAGGGACAGAGGCGGGGTTAGAGAGATACAGCGGACAGAGGTGGGATTACAGGGAGAGATAAAGGGGAGAAAGTGAGAGAGGGCTAGAGAGAGACATACAGCAGAGAGAGAGGGAGTTTAGATAGAGGGAGGGAGATGTTAGAGGGAGAGACACGGGGAGAGATGGTCAGTGGGAGAGACACAGAAGGGAGACAGCGAGACAGTGTTGGAGGCAATAGAGGGTTAGTGGGAGGGTTACAGGGGAGAGAGGGTTAGAGGGAGAGACACGGGAGAGAGGGGGCGCTAGAGGGAACGATACAGAGGAGAGAGAGACAGAGAGAGGGAAGGATACAGGGAGAGGAAAGGGTT